ACTTAATTTATCGTAGTCGCATTCGACTCACAGCAGTTGCAATTTGAGAAGAATCCCAATCATGTGAATAGATTGACATTTTCATTTTAATTTTGTAAGAGTGGTCCACAATTAATAAACCAAGCTTTCAACCTAAATCGAAGCGTGAATTGCTTATATATCCCGTGCTCTGTGAAGACTTTAAGGCTTAAATTGACATGGAAGAAGGATCTATTTTGAGATTGAGATCTCGGGACCATAATCATATAGCATGCAGAACATGAAACCTAGCTTCAAATTAAATATATTCAGGACCACCTACACATACTATAGGCTATATATATATATATATATATATATATTTATGTCTACAAATAACATATCAAAGATTTCAGATATTATTGGCTGACCAGGGCACTATCTTGTTACAATTAATTGCCTCCCTAGACAGCAAAAAATAGGCACAAGGACATGTTCTAATACAAGTGCAAATAAGGTATATACTATTTTTTACTGTTAATGAGAGCTTTTAGCTGAGGATTTATCCAAATAGCAACCAGCTATAGCTAATGGGTGCACGAATGTCCCCACTTAAACAACTTGTACATTTATCTATTCATGTGATAGGATACATTTATTCATGGAAGAGTATGGGTTGAAGTTGAATACACCTTATCTTGTGGAAAATTGACATAATCCCTCTGCAAAATACTTGGTGAAAAGTTTTCGTGTTAAAAAAAAAAAAATTATTTTCGTTTAGGCCTGGCGTTAGGTACTTTTATGCTCTGTTTGTAGGAACGAAAAAATTTGAATATAATGGAGAGAATAAATGATGGATGAGGCATTCCCATGAAAGAGATTGTGTATTTTTTTTTTTTTTTATTCAGTTGGATAGAAAAAAAGAAAATAAACTTATAATTTCTTATATTCGTTAAGAGATAAAGAAATAAAATGTTTTAATTATTTTTACCATTACATCCAATTATATTTACAATATTATAATTTATAGAAGATAGTACTGTAATTTAAAACTTGTATAATTAATGATAGTATTTAATTTAAAACTTCTATAACAGTCCACTTGTTTTCTTTCTTTTCTTCGCTCATTTTTTGGCAAATGAAAATTTGTAAAGGAAGAAGAATGAGTCACCTTTCCTATTTTCATTACTTTCCTTGTATCATCTCTACTGAAGAAATGAAGTTCATTCATTCCTTCTTATTTTCTTTCCACATCTCTTCTTTCCTTTCTACAGAACATAGCATTAATGAATGAGCTACCTCAATGAACATTAATACTCACTAGTGAGGCTCTACACTACATTGATTGCTTATGTGGATTAATAATAAATGGACATATTCTATTTTAATTATTAAATCATAGATGGTAGTAAGTGGGTATCTACTCTTATTGAATTTGGTAATTAAAGATGACATGTCCATTTATTATTAGGTCACATCAATGTGAGGATGATCTATGTATTGTTCCAACCTCGATTGTAGATAAGCCTAGCTAGAGTTAATTTTGACTAACCAATACATTTGAGTAATGGGTAAATTCCACTTACTTCCTCCAAGGTTTGTTAATATTCCATATAGGCCCTCTACGTTTTATAATCCCTACTTAATTACCTCCTCTCGATCTTTTAGGCAGCCATCCCACTTAATAACAGTAGTGTGTATTTTACCATTTTGCCCATAAATTATATATTATCAATTCAAGGATTAGAAGGGCAAAACCGACCTTCTATCAATTTCCTTCTACTGTAAAATCTGTCATGCCTAAGGGATAATTTGTTATATAAACCAAAACCATAGAGGAAGGTAAGTGAAATTATAAAACCTACCATCTATGTGAGATATTAATAATCCTCAAAAAAGATAAGTAAAATTTACCATTGAATAATTTATGAGTAATTATGTTCATTTACAACCCTTTGATAACTCAAGCTCAAACACGTTGCTATCAATCTCAAAAACCTGAATCCTCTCTTGTGAAACCGGCTTAAACTGTCCAGTGCACATGAGAGAGGATCCAAGTTCCAATCTCATAAGCATCTCTCATAATAGGATCATCATTTACTTGCTAAAGGAATTATATCTCATGGTTCTTGTGTTGTCTTTAGGAGGAATTTTGAATCTCACTCTCATTAATTTAAACTTTCAACTATGATTTCACCGAAAATTTAATAATGTATTGATGAGAGAAGTATATATTGAACCTTAAAATCTTTCACATAAATTCACTCCATGATCAGTACAAGTGAATCACTAAGAATGCATGACTTGATCATGTAACTGATCAGGAGGATATTGCAATAAAATAAAATAAAAAATCAGACTGATCACTTCATGTTAAGATCAATCCTTGGAACACAACTAGTGCTTCGAGAAATCTTTGATGACAACGGGTGCTTAGAAATTCTCTTCTCGCAGCTTTTTTTTGCTATATTTCTCATTGCACATGTCAATGAGAGTTTTGGGTTGAGCCTGGTACTGTTGAACTCTTGACAAAATTTCTTGTGAGTGCGTAGAGCTTCTTCCATGGCTGTTCTCGGCCTTTCGTTTAGCCTCTCTTTTACAGCTTCGGAACAAAGGCCGCAAACCCACTTGTCAGAGTGAGTTGCCTTCACTTTTATGATGTACTTTGGAGTGCAATCCTCTTTGAGGCCACAGCATTCACATTCTACATGCTCAACTTCATCAATTGTAGCAAAGTTTTCAAAGTCCTTCCCAAATCTATCTGCTTGAAAGGAAACATCAGAGACTGTCTTCCTAAGCTTTTGCTGATCCTGTTAAATCAGAGAGAGAGAGAGAGAGAGTTCAACCATTAGCTCAATACACTAGCAAACAAAGGAGGGGTTACTGTAAGATTGCATGGAAATGATGTATATATATTGAGAGAAAAAAAATACTTGGGGTTCTTTAGAAAGTTTAAAAAAAAAAAAAAAAAAAAAAAAAAAAAATCACTTTGGTGTCATATCTTTAGCAGATGAATGCACAATGACACAGTGTGTGTGTGTGTGTGTGTGTGTGTGTGAGAGAGAGAGAGAGAGAGAGAGAGAGAGCTAATTAGCTCATTCTTTCAATTGTATAACACATGAAAGAAGAAGCATTTCTTTAGCACATGAATGCACAATGACACACTAAACCACCTTCAGCCATAGTGTGTGTGTGTGTGTGTGTGTGTGTTTGAGTAGAAATGAATCTACATACCATGAGAAGCAAAGAGATGGATTTCTTCTCTTGTAAGTGGTTTCTATGCTTTGTCTTACTGAGAGATGAGACAGTTTTGTTTGAAATGGGATGATCAAAAATGCTTTTTATAGTAGATAGAATCTATGAATTTCAAACAGATTGAAACAACAAAAGAATGTGAAATAATTAAAAGACAGGTATGAATATTGCTTTCAAACCTGCTGAGAAATTACCTTTACAGGTTGATATATATATCAGTATTTATTAAGAGTTGGAGGATTAATGCTTTTCATTGCCATTGGTGAACAAGTTGAACCACTAGGGCTATCTTTTAGTTGCAATTTGCAACTGGAGTGTTAGTACGTCCGATGATGCAAGCAGCTAATCACTACTAAAAATACAATTATTCTGGTGCTATATATGAGAGGAATGGACTTCTATATATATATATATGAACTGTCAGGAGTCAAAACAGTTTTCAATACATGGTTTCAGAGCTAAAATTATAAAAGAAAGTTTTCTAAAAACTTAACTTAATTTTGAGTGAATTAAAGAACATATCAATTTTCAAAATATTTTCAGTTTTTCAGTTATCAGAGAATGAAAAATGCTTTTCAAAAAACTGAACAAGTATTCCTATGTAAATATTATAGTATTATCATTTGAACTTACATAAATTGGAAACTTAAATTCTCAACTTTTTATAAACAATTTAAACAAATATATAAAACTAAGAGAGAGAGAAAGGTAATTAGTCCCCTGCTTTAGAATCTAATTATCATGGTGAGAGTTAGTGAGCTCCATTTGGTTGATTGATTTAAAATGAATGATTCAGATTTAATTGTCCAAGAGCTATAGCTTAAATTAAATCTTATAATTATTTAGGTGTTTAACAATATGCATAAATTAATTGGACTTGAGAATATTATAATGTTGGCATATCTTCTTATTTTCCTCTTTTTCTTTTTTGAATTGGTTCTTTGGAATTTGAATTTTTAATCTCTTTATTTCGATAAGTAAAGAAGTACCACTAAATTATAATTTTTGGTGATATAGTAAAGAATTTTGCACAATAATCTAAGTAATATATCTCTCTAATCTCATATCTAACATATTCTTGGCCACTTATGAAATTTTCAAATTAATCTAGTATCTATCCAATTGTTCCATAGAAGTGTTAAAATTTACTCTAAGAGAATAGAACATGTTGAATGAAAATTAGAGTACATGAATTTGAACAAAAAGTTTGGAATATAAACCACTAAAAGTTTCATGGAAATTTGAAATAAAGATAAAAGTACATGTAAGTCATGAAAAGTGAAACTTAAGGTAGTATGGTCCCCTGTCTATGTGCTACACATGAACAAAATCAAGATTCACGACCATAATGGAGGAAATAAAATGGGATGAGCAATGGTGAAAGATGGTGACGATAATCATGATAAGGATGACATCAGCACATGGGTTTGGGCCGGCATTGGGCCAGACGATATTGAGGTTAGTCTATTTCAAATAGGTCCAGAGGAGGGCCCATTAAATGACTATGGTGACCAAATCTTAGTAACATCATCACATGGGCACTGTTTTGTTTTATTTTATTTGTAAAAGTTATTTCTCATTTCTTACTCTCCTGGTGAAATGGGCACATATTATCGTCTCTCATCTGCTAACACAATTTAATTTCTCTTCCTTTTAATATGGTTATATCAAAGAATCTAAGTGGGGTCGTGTGCAAAAAATACCCCTCAAGTATGCGCATATTACACCCTTTACGTACAAAAAACACCACTCAAGTTTTAATTTGGTGCAATCAAGTTCCTATGACATATTTAAAACCAAAATTTATTAAAATACCCTCAGTCAACAATTTTTTAAAATATAGAAAAATACAAAATTTTGTAAAAAGATAAAAAAGGATAATAAACAGTGGCTTTGTCTTTTTGCACACCATTCTGCAATTCGTGTCTGAGTTTCAAACCGCTGTTTCCACCGCCATGACCGTCCCGATCGGTGGCTTCGACCAGAGCCAGAAACCCCATCTTCAGCCGATGTCAAAATTAAAACCCCTCCTCTCCTCTGTAAGCCAGGAACCTCATCTTCGGCCGCCGTCAAAATTAAAACCCCTCCTCTCCTCTGTAAGCCAGGAACCTCATCTTCGGCCGCCGTCAAAATTAAAACCCCTCCTCTCCTCTGTAAGCCTCCGATTTTGTCTTCATTATCACCTCCCATTCCTCTCTCGCTCTCTCAAGAACCACAATACAACACCCTAGAAGCGCCTTCCCTCGAAGAACCGTATATACCCACCTGTCCAATACTATCTAGGAGAAAAATTAAAACGACTCTTACCTACAGTTAAGAATAAAGAGATTATCATCCAATGATTCATCAGAGGCCAAGGAAACAAAAAAGATTCTGAGTTCAATTCATCAGACTAGCATTGTCAACGTCTCTCTTCATCCAAAGCTTACCCATGATCCAGCTCCAAAGAGAATCACTTTTTTTACTAGCATTGTCGATCGGATAGAGTGTCTCCAAAACCCTCCTCTTCATATCAGCCCTCCTGATGGCATGGTTGTTCAGTGTCGGATATGAACACAAGTTACAAAATAAATGCAGAATTAATTATTGGAAGATATTAAAAATAAGAGAAGTAATAGCATATATAGTAACATCATAACAGAAAATGTCCCAGCACCTCCTTTTTTCCAAATTTTAAGATCAAAAAATCAAAAGGAGAAATAATCGCATAAATCAATGCAAAAAATTCTGAAACAAATCACACATACCCACTTGTCCAACTCTTCTGTTTCATATAAATCTCTCTCTCTATCTTTCAAGAAAAAACAGAGCAACCCCATATACCCACTTATCCAACTTTTCTGTTTCATATAAATCCGACTCTCTGTCTAGCTTGTTGCAGAAGAGAGATGGTGCGATATCAGAAATACCATCAGCTAAGAAAAGGTGAAGTGGCTGTTTTCGAAGAAGATGAGGAGTCACAAGCCTTTGTTTTTGTCTTTGGAAACTCTGCTTACAACAACAAGAGAGCAGGGCCTAAACAATCCAATTCAACTTCCTCAATTTGGATCCTAACTGGACTCAAAATTTTAGTTGGTTTAGAGTTCCTGTCATTGATAAAAAATAAAAAATAAAAAATAAAAAATAAAATAAAAATGGTCTTTTCTGTTATGTTTAGATTGAGTTTTACAGGGGGTGGAGAGAGAAGAATGGGCATATTAGGAAAATTAAAAGGGTAAAATGGGTATTACAATATTAATTTGTCATATTTCTAACAGATGGGTAATTTTGCACAATTTTAAAAGATTAGAGATGTTTATTGCACACTTTTTTAAATAGAGAATAAAAATGCTACATAAAGTATACTTGAGGGGTATTTTCTGCACTTGCACCATCTAATTGACATGATTACTAAGATCATTCTTATTGTTTCTAGGATCTTTTTAGAATGTTAGTTTTATAATTTTTAGTATACTATATTAGGTAAAAGTATGAATGGAATTCTGAAATATTCTTATGATAGTTCTGGAAAATTAGTGTGCGCAATTCAATTTTAACAATATCCATCGTCTATTTTGGAAGTGAAAGGTTATAGTGATAAATAATAATGTATACCAAGTAAAATTGGAAAAGAAAATGTGAGAATTTATTTTGTTTTAAACCAACTTGATTAAAAGTAAGTTGTAACCTGAGTCTTTAAAGATTCAAAAGTATACAGGCTTTCAAATGAAAGAAATAAATACATATGTTTATTAAGAGGATTTCATCGTGAATCAAACACAATAGTAGGAGCACTTCTGACCTTTTAGTAACTTAAGAATAATTTTTCTAATTCGGCAACATGAGCCAACTACTTTAATACCCCCACGCAAAGAGAAATACAATTGACAATCTGAAAGAATGTGGTACGTGTGAAGTGTTGCTAGATGATGCTAATGAAAAAATGATAAGTAAAAACAAGTTTGGTTGAATTTAAATTGAGTTTTTAATTTAAACTACGTGAAGGTTTCAACTACGGAATAACTATGTCAACCGGATATTTATAAAAGAAGCTGGAAAAGCCGTTGCAAGAGAACTCGACAAAAACATCGGGCCTGTTTAGTTTGTAATTATGAAAACAGTTTTCTGTTTTGAGAAAAACTTCTAAAAAAAAAAAAAAACAAAAAAAACCTCGATCTGCTTGGTTTAGTTTTTTAAAAACTTAATTATAAAAATACTTTTTTTTAAATAATAGTCTTATATTATTATCAGAAAACTGTTAATCTATTTTCTGAGTTTCCCATAACTGTTTTTAGAGTTACAAATCTAGCAAGTCCTTATTTTCATCATGTAACTTTTACGTTATTTCCTTGTACTGTTTTCTTTTTCCATGTATTTTACTTTCTTGCAATTTCTATAGGAGTAGTTTCCTAGTTTGTATCAAATTCCTTTACATGTAACTCTTGTAATGGAATTATGCTTATGAAATAAAACCAGACGCTTGGCTTTGTCCCCTTTTGTTTTATTTTATGAGTTTCATGATGAAACTCCTGTGCAGTTTCCTTTGCTCCCTTCATCAATTTCATTTTATATTTGTAACAACCCACTCTACCACATAGTATGATATTATTCACTTTGGGCCTGAGCCCACAAGGTTTTGCTCTTAAGTTTTATCCCAAAAATGCCCCATACCAATTAGAGATAACATCACCACATAAAAGCATTTCACATTTCCCTTACCCAGGCGATGTGGGATTGTGCACTCGTAACTCGCCCAGTGTAGTAGCCTGTCAGTGCCTCGCACCTGCCCTCAAAGTCACCACAATCACCTCCTCTATTGGGGCCTAATGTCATCGTTGGCCACACTTCCGGCTGGGTCAGGCTCTTATACTATTTATAATGACCCACTCTATCACATGATATGATATTGTCCGCTTTGAGCCTGAATTTGCACGGTTTTGCTCTTGGGTTTTATCTCAAAATAGCTCATACCAATTGGAGATAACACCACCACATAAAAGTACTTCACCTTTCTCTTACCCAGACAATATGGGATTGTGCACCCGTAACTCGCCTAGTGTGATAGTCTGCTAATGCCTCGCACCCGCCCACGACATACCTGTCCACAAGGTCGCCACAAAGTATCGATATACTTAGAATGAAATTCTGAAATATTCTTATGATAGTTCTGAAAAATTAGTGTGAGCAATTCAATTGTAATAATATTCATTATCTATTGAGGAGGTGAAAGGTTATAAATAAGAGTGATAAATAATAATATACACCAAGTATAGTTGGAAAAGAAAATGTGAGAATTTCTTTGTTTTCGTCGGCTGACAATTGTTGATTCAACCAAGCTAGAGAAACCAACTTGATTAAAAGAAAATTGTCACCTGAGTTTTAAATATTCTGAGGATTTTATCGTGAATGAAGTTAAATGTGATACCTCTCGATTCTAGAGCCATGAGTGATCAAGTCCGAGTACAGATCCGAGGGACACCAAACAATCAATATATAAACAAGTAGGAATACAAACTGAAATAAGAATAAATTAATAATACGCTGAAAGAATTCTAAAATAAAAATCCTCAAACTTTAAATAATAAATTAATATTATTTAAATCCTTCAAATCCGTACAACTTGGGAATCCATCTAGTGGACCCCTAATAATTCCAAATGAACAATAAATACAAAACCAAAATCCAAAACTAAAATAAGAAAGGAAATCATACGTAATTAGAAGAGTGAGTGTCTGTATCTGCATCCACACGATCAAGCCCTAAGCCTGGTACTGACGAACACCTAAAAAATAAGAGTGGGTCAGGCCCACATGCAAGTTTCATCCTACTACAATCCGTACATAAACCAGATACGCAGATACATCCTAGATAGTTCGGCAACATATAAAATAGTCCATATATATATACACACTATAGGATGCTCACTAGCATATAACATAGTTCAACATGGGTAGAAGGTGACATATAAAACGCGCTTTCCAACGGCCAAGTACCTAGACCTACCATGGAACATCAGCTATATCTAGCTACTCACCCTTGCGATATACGCACCCTAACCGTGATCAGGAGACTCAAGCTCGTATCACGGTACCATAAGTATATATATAAATTCCTTCCTAATGCAGAAAAATAGAATAAATATCCATTATGTCGTTCAACTACTTCAGTTGACAGGACATGCATCCATGTAGGATTTAACTATTTTAGTTAATCCATTCCGTATGTATGAAGAGGTAGGACTTAGCTTTTTGATCTAATCCATCTCCGATATGCTACCGTCCCATACCGGTGCATATAATGCATATGATCCTAGAATGATGCACATTCCAAATGAACATCAAGTAAATCCAGAAACCAACATAATAGAAATCAGATATTGATAAGATCCTATCATGCATCCAGTATATAATTATAATCATAAATCTTCCTTTTAAATTGTTAAAATAATAATAAACAATTTAAACCATCATTTTCCATATAATTGTCAGAATAGAAATTTAATATAGTTCATCAATTAACTTCCATACCATGTTATAATGATTATCAGAATTATAAACTGAGCAACATTATACTAGAATTCCCAACCAATTCTTCCATACTAGTTCATTTTTTTTTTTCTAAAACGAAGATTAGCATTTAAAACCTTCTCAATCCTTGACGGCATATAAATTAATCTTTAAATCTTATGACGTCCTTTAAACTCCCAATTATAAATCATGTGTCTGATATAATGACACTCAGAAGTCTAGACGGAGTACATTATATGAAGTCCCAATAGTATTTTAATACTAGTTCGTTTAATTTGCTAGAACAACCACTAGTAATCAAACTTCCATATTTCGTGACAACATGTAAATTATTGTTAAATTTCATGGAGTCCATTAACACAGTATAAACCAACATTCATGACCTTCATTAAATTTTATATAAATATCATTTATATAAAATCTAAAACATAACTCTCATACCAGTCCATTTAGTTTGCTCAACAAACTAAAAACTAAGTCTTCCTTCTTACTTGGTAGCATGCATAATTTTCTTTAAATATCATGATACCCCTTTTCCAGATCATAAACCAATATTCCTGGGTCTTTAAATATGTTATATATATTATTTTAAAAACCCCAAATTAAATTTCAGTATTGCATTTTAGCCCATGCAGTCCGAAAAACCACCAAAACCACTTACTGGGCATTTATAAAAGGTAGAGGAGGCTCCAATTTTAGGTTGAGAAGGCTCCAATTTTAGGTTGAGAAGGCTCCAATTTAAGTTGAGGTGGCTCCAATTTTAAGTAGAGAAGGCTACACTCCTCTTAGAGCCGCTTCTACATCATGTGGAGCTGGCTCCACTTCAATGGAGCCGCCTCCATTGAAGGGTAGAGCCGTCTCCATTCTCTCAACCTCCATTTTTTCCTTCTCCGGCGTGTTCCAGACCCTCTGTCTTCCATTACTAGGGTCCCTAAGCGTCTAACTAGATCCCAACACATTCCCAACATGTATACTACACAATATGTATCATAAATTTCAATTAAAAACATCTAATTATGTAGCACAATTCAAGATTACACAATTTACATAAAACTGTTGTAATTTAAAATTGACATAGAATCTGGATCAGTTTTAAAAATAGCATGCAATCCAACTATCAGTTTTAAAAGTTGAATTAATCCCTGGAGACTATAAAGAATGCACAGAACACAAGTTTACAGAAAGGAGATAGAATCAAACTTGCCTTTAGGTTTTGGTTTGAAACCTTTCAACGTCATCTCTCAATTTTCTGACGACTGCCGCCTACCGGCAAACCTCCTACTGCTCTGTTTCAATCCCACAAACTGGTCCGCCGTCCTACCATAAGCTTAAGAGTGAAATTTAAGGCGAGGGCAAAGAGTTTTACATTTATAGAAGCCACTATTACCTTCACTAAAAATATAGCTAGGGTGAATAGGGATCTTCCCAAGGGATTGTGAGGATCGAACAAAGTCGTGGAATCGCTATTAGGGCTAGTAGGTCGAGTGATCAAACAATTGGTTGGTTGGTTGATTAGAGAACAACTAAATTAAACTAAGTGATAACAAGAGAATGCAACTAAGAGTAAGTAAGAGAGAGAGAAGAGTATTGGGGTTTAGAGATCACCACCAAGCAATGCATTTCTATACCGTTGACAAGTGACTAATGAGGGCAAATGGTGTGTTGCAATATTGGTATGTGTGTGTGTTTGGTTGATTCAACAAGTAAGAATGACTAGTTAAGCATGTATTGTCTAAACATCATGTGAAAGGCACAATATATCTAAGTAATGAAGCATATA